GCGCGGGTGGGAGCGGCACCGAGGCGAGGCGGGGCGGGTTTGAAACATTGGGGTAGATAGAATGCAGGATGGCTGAAGGAGTCAATTACTCATGCACTCGTCCGGTCTTTGCATTAATGTATTCATTTGTTCATTCACTTGTTCAAATATTTACGGAGTGTTATCCAGGGCCCGATGCTCTTCCAGGGCTGGCGATCCGCAGCGAGCAAAGCAAAGTCCCTGCCCTCCTGTTGCTCACTCACACTCTAGGGAACAAAAGCAGACCTGGAACAGCAGGTCACACCTCTCTTCCAACCCTTCAGTGCCTCCTCATCTTCCACGCGTGAGTCTCTGGGGGCCTGCCAGGCCCATGTGACATGAGCCTGCCCCTCCACCGCATCTCTTAGGCTTCTCTCTAGCTTCCTCTGCTCCAGGCACCTTACCCTTCTTGATGCTCCTCAATGTGCCAGACATGCATTTGCATGAGTCTTTGCAATCGCTGCTCTGGCCAGGTACACCTTTCCCTCCTTGCTGGGCAAGGTGCTCCCTCACTTTCTTCAGGCCTCTGGCCCACGGGCACCTTCTCAGATACAATCCTGTCTTTCAGGTCCTGAGCTTCTTTGCCTTGTTGCCTCTAGCCACCTGCCTGGATGCGCTTCACTTTCTCGTCGTACCTTTGCCAGATCCCGCTCATCCTTCTGGTCTCAGGCCTTTCTGTTACCGCATAGGCAGTCAGGTGGGGGCCAGGGAGTCTCTCCCATTGGCCAAGATGGCGCAGGGGGAGATTCTTACACTAAGAGGCCCAAAGCCAAAAAGATGATGGATAGAGGAAAAACAAAACACAAAACCTCGTGGGCTTGAACAGAAAGGGGAAATGGGCTTTGAGACAGGAGAACACCATTCTCCCAGGTCACGGGGCACATGACTAAACCTCTTCTTTTTTGCACCAGCACCTGTCTCATGATTTTGACGTTTGTAGGGAGCAGGCAGCCAAACCTGTGTTTTCCGTTACATGTCTACATCCCCAGGCTCCCTCAGACAATCTGCTGCGCATGCCCATTAGGTGTCTGCCTTCCCCAAGGGCCACAATCCCGGTGGCAGCAGGGACCAGGGCTGTCTCCAGCATAATATGGCTTAAGAGCACCTGCCCTGGATTCATACAGCCTGGGGTTGAAACTCAGTTATTACTGCTTATATGACCTTGGGCAGACCTCTCTCTAAGCTTCAGTTTCCTATGTGTAAAGTAGAGCTCCCAACAGTACCTCCCTCAGAGGGATGCTCAAGGATTCAGTGGGACGTGCCAAGAGCAATGTTTGATACTTATTAAGCCCTCAGCAAACATTAGCTGTCTTTTTATCTCCCCTGACCTGCAATCGCTGGCATTAAATAGCCCTAATGACTCTTTGCTGAATTAATGAAGAAGTAAATGAGTGAAACCTTTGTTAGGGGCAAAAATAGAATATTGGGGACTAGCTGTGGTTATGGGAAATATTAATTATGCTCTGTTAACCATGATTGCCTTGGTCTGGTTAAAGAAAGGGCATTCTAACTTGGCTGGTAGTTGTATGCCCTGGGGACCTGGGAGTCAACCTTGGACCTGGGAGTCAATTTTGGAATGTGGGCCTCCTGCATGCCCCCCACTCAGGATGGAGCCAGCAACCTGGGCATGTGCCCTTGATTGGAATAGAACCTGGGATCCTTCAGTCTGTAGGCCGATGCTCTATCCACTGAACCAAACTGGCCAGGGCAAAATCTCTTCTTCTTGAGAATGACTGCCCTCCATTATGCCAGCCTACTGCAGGAGCTATTTCCTTGGGGATTGAACTAGTTGTCATTCAGAGCAAGGAAGAGGCTGTGTCTATCATTGAAGTATTGAGGTGGAAACTACTAGTTACAGCAAGCATGTCAAACTCGCGGCCCGCGGGCCACATGTGGCCCACAACAAATATTTTTGCAGCCCAGCCAATATAACGGTATGTAAGAGACATTTTAATAAAAATTTCATAACTTAATTTTTACAACATACTCTTATACATAATTATTAATACAAACTATAACGTTCGATAATGACTGATTACTATAACCATGTTGCATTCATTCCCCTTAAGCGCCTTACACACAGGCACACCATTTCTCTCCACTAATACTAGCAGTGAATATTTGAGCAGCCCATTACCACATCATTAGTCCTGTAGTGACTTGTTTGGTGTATGCAACAGAAAATATTTCGCTTTTGAAGAACAAGAAAAATAGGTTTATTTGCGTTACGCTTATTCATTTGTGCAGTTATTTAGTGTCTGGTAAGTTAATGTTCAAGAAAAAATATTAATTTCTATTATAATGTTCTATTATTTTATGTTAACGATGACTCATTTATTTCAGCCCTGCGTATTCAACATGTCTCTATCGAAATAAACTTATGTTTCTATGAAAATGGAAGCTTTTGTTTTTTTGCGGCCCACATCAACTTAAACCTTGTTTATTTGGCCCATGTTAGCCTTGGGTTTTGATATGCTTGGGTTACAGTATATACTGATATTTACCCTCTATTTCTCTAGTGAAATTTTTCAGCTGCGGATATTGCTGCTAGAATGAAGACTGTATTTCTCAGCCTTCTTTATCGCTAGGTGTGACCATGTAACACCTTCCAGCCAATTAGAGATGATGTGGGCAAATTCCTAGCTGTGCCCTTGAAGGAGAGTGCCAGGCTCCCCTCCATTGCCTTTGCCCTGGTCTTGCAGCCTGGGAGGTGGACCTGGTAGCAACATGACCAAGGAATCCCTGGTCTCAGTACCAGGAAGCGGCTGTTTTGCCTGGTCTGCTTATGCTCAGATATTACTAGAGAAACCAACTTTGTTCTGGTTTAAGCCACTGTTATTTATGAGTTTCGTCAAACTTACCAACCCTATATTCCAACTATTGCAGCCACCCAAGCTAGCCACAGTGAGGAAGAAAAAAGGCAGGAGAGTGGAGAGAAGGATACAAATGGAGGCAGTGTGGCTGGGTGAGAAATGCTGAGGGGTATCTTCTGGGAAGTCTCTGAGTTAGAGTTGAAGGTTGTGAAAATGTGGAGCAGGGAAGGAAGGGTGAGAGCACTTCACAGGGACTGCAGCAGGAGCGAGAGCCTTGAAGGGAGACCTGGGCAAGGCCTTGAAGGACAAGGAGGGCCTGGACAGGCTGAGAAGAGCGAGGAAAGCACACCCGAGGGGAGCCCAGGGCCAAGTGGGCTATTTCACCAGGTGAACTGAAACCAGGGGTGGGGATGTTGGAGTTTCTTGTGAGTCCTGGGGGACATCTGGAGACTGGGATTGGAGGCAGAGAAATGGTGGGGAGTCCTGGCCCCTCTCCAACTCAGAGCACCACTCTGGAGCTGACCCCTCATCCATGCCCCAGGCCCCAGGCCCCAGGCTAAGATGAGCACAGTTTTGCTGGGCCTGGGGTTTTGACATTTTCTTGCCCACCGTGTCTCCAACAGGCAGCCAGGGCCAGCAGGAGTGCAGCCAAGGTCACTGTCTTCATTCCCAGGACCACAGCTGTGAACACAGACAGGAGGCCTGGGGGACACGAAGGAGAGTTCAAGAAGGACCCTAGGTGAGTCCTCAGCAGCCCATACATCAGTGCTCCCTGTGGGCGAGGTTTGGGCTCAGCTGCTCTCTAATTTCGGGGGCCACATTCTTTCTCTTACTGGAAGGGGAGATCCAAGACCTCCCTTTCCCTTGTCCCAGGCCCGGAAAGGGACAATATCCTACCTGTACCTTTAATCATCCTGATAGCATCCCTGACTTCTGACAATACAGTAAGTCCTCACTTAACATCATCCATAGGTTCTGTGACTTTAAGCAAAACATATCATATTTGTAATGAAACCAACTTTACCACAGGCTAATTGATACAAACAAGAGTGAAGTTCCTATGGCATCTTATTCACATTATAGCGAAATGATGGAAACTATGTCATCCAAGGCCCTGCTATAATAGAAAACTGCTTCCATTTATTGGCTGATCGACTCCTCTGCCCCAGGTCCTGAGCTAAGCACTTCCTAATTGACTAGTAGAATCCTCAAACTAATCTTGCAAGGTAGGATAGCAACGCCATTCGTATAGATGAGGAGACAGACGCAGAGTAGGGAAGTGATTTGCTCAGGATCCCATGTGCCAAAGAAGTGGTGGGCGCCCAAGAATGGCAGGAACAGGGCTGAGCATCAGGGAGGGCACCCTGGCAGCCTCTGTGCCCAGTTCCCCCAGTCATCAAGCCTCCCTGAGTACTAACAGGTGACGTGAAAGACACAGTTCCGGGCATTCAGCACATGTGACTCATTGGGTCCCCACACAACCCTGTGAGGTAGGCTCTCTGATCCCCATCCCGACACCCCAGGCCACAGAGCAGGACATCGGAGATTCAAGGAGTGAGGCAACCTGCCCACGGTCTTGCAGAGAGAAAGGGGCTCAATCCAGAGCCATGTGCTTATGCACAGTTACGCACAGTTTTACAGTGTAATCTTACAGGGAATCACGGGGAGGGGGTGAGTGGATGGCATGCAGGTTAAATGAACAGCTAGCACTGACTGTGTCTCTGATGGAGCGTTAGCAAGGTGCTCTGGCTTCCCGGAACTCTCTTGGTGACAGATGGGTCCTAGACCACCGGATGACTCCCTTCCCATGGCTAAGCCATCTGTGCCCCACCTTTGCCTGTGGGGTCCTGGTTAACTCCATTGCAGGTAGGAACACTCACTCACCTGACAGAGATCTCCTGGCTACATGTTGATGGATGACTTCTGCCTCTTGGGAAGAAGTGGGCTTTGCTGCAAGGGAGAGAGGTCGTCTCAAGTTCCACTTTTCTTTCTGTCCCACAACTTTCTGACCCCTGTGCTTGGAGCTGGGGTCACCAAAATGAGCCTGCCAGTTTCTACCTGGGATGGGGGCTATATGTCAGACCTCGTACCTGTAAGGCCTGGTTAGGCCCGTGTGAGCATCTCTGGGGTTGAAACCATGTCTGACTTACTGCAGCGTCCACAGCACCGAGTACCCTGCAGAGCAGTCCACAGGCGCGCACTAGATGTTTGTTGAACCATTAACTATACAAAATTCTATGGGTTCCAGAATGAGGAAAAATGAACTCTGCCTGGTAAAAGGAGAAGATTTCACAGAGGAGAGGCTATTGATGCTGAGCTTTGAAGGACAATTAGGAGTTTGACATAGAAAATGAGAAAACATTCCAGGCAGAGGGAACAGTTTATGTAAAGGCATGGAGGCTGAGAAAAGCTGGTGTGTTTGGGACATGGTGAAAAGTTCCTAGTGGATAACCTCCCCCCTTTCCCTCCCACCGCCTAGACCACCTGTCTTACCTTTCACCCTCAGCCTGGTGCCCTGTCCAGACAGGTATTGCCTGTTAAGTTTCCTCTGAAACTTTACACAGTAGTAGGTGCCTGCATACTCCGTAGAGACATCTTGCAAAAGAATGCTGAAATCGCTGCTGGAGGCCTGGACCGCAGTCACATTGGGTTGGGAGATGCCTTCAAAGTTGTAAATGGCTTCACGGCTCAGACCAGACCCCCGGAACCACCTGATGGGCCCGGAAGGACCATCTCCAAGCACTGTGCAGTTCAGGAAGACAGTGTCTCCAGGGGTTGCCAACACCAGCTCCTGGGGCTGGATGATCTGGAGGTTTGACTCTAGGTTGCCAGCTCCTGAAGCCAAAGACAGACCCTTGTTTTATTCTCTCTCTTCTTCCATTGTCCACTCATTTCCACCCTTATATCTTTCCTCCCTTCCGCTTCCCTGATTTCTTCACTCAGCCACTCCCTCCTATGTTTCCTCATTACTCAGTAGTTGAAGAGAGGAAGGGAGTGGGAAAGAGAGAGAAACAACGATGTAAGAGTGAAACATTGATTGGTTTCCTTCTGCACATGCTCTGAAAAAGGATGGAACTCCAAACCTGGGCATAAGCCCTGATTAGGAATCCGTCCAGCAACCTTTCAGTGTAAGGGACGATGCTCCAACCCACTGAGCAACACCAGCCAGGGCAATAAAGAAGTTCTCAGGACCGACTTTGTGTTGATGCTAGAACAGGGGAAAATGGAGCTCAGAAAGACACAAATGTCCTGCCCTGAAGAAGGTCTCAGTCTGGCTGTGGAGATGGTCCAGGAAATCCCCCTGAGTTTGGAAACCCAGAGAACTGCAGGACCAAGAGAAGGCACCAGCCACAGCTTGGAAGGAGTCAGAGAAGTCTTCCTGAAATGCTTGCATCAAGTGAAAATGGACTGCCCTCCTCCCCGCTACTCCCCGCCCCCATGACCGCACTCACAGATACTCTCCATGTCAGCAGTTGACAGAGTGGTTTCACAACATCTGTTCCTTACCCGAATGACTCTTGAAGCAGGAATTATGTTGTCTATTTTCCAAGTTAGGCAAGTGAAGTACACAGAGCTGAAGTGACTGATTTAAGAACACACTTCTATTGAATGACACACCCAGATTTGGGTATCCAGGTCATCACTGGTGAACTTATAGATAAAATGACTGATTCCTTGGGGTGTAAATGAAATGATCAGCCCCAGTTCTTAACTGGAACATACACACTCCTGCCATAGCCTCGTGATGGTAGGGTACACTTTCTTGTCTATTGAATTTGAGATGAGTCATGTGACTTGCTTTAACCAATGGGCTGTTAACAGACACTATGCCAGTAGAAGTTTGACATGTACTAGGAGTGTTAGGACTTGACTTCCTGTTCTCCTGCCATCTCCATGAGAAAATGCACTCTGGCTCGTCTGGAATGAGACATATGGAATAGAACCACCCCAGCTGCCTATACTAGTAAATGTGTGAGTGAGATACACTAATTGTTACGTGCCACTGAGATTTTGTGTATACAGCATGATTGTGGATACAAGTGACTGATGTAGAAAAACAGATCAGAGAAGAATGCTTTAACCTGCAGGGCCTGATACTCACCCTTCACAAGCACTGAGGTGCCTTCATCCAGCTGCATTTCTGAGGGCTCACTCAGGTCATCAAACCTCACACAGTGGTAGGTTCCTTCCTGCTCCTTGGTGACATTATGAATATAGATGGAATAGTCGCAACTAAGTGGCTCCAACGTCTGCTGGGTCACAGATGTCACCCCAGGGAAGAAGCCATGTTTGAAATTATAAATTTCCTGCTGGTCCTGCTTGCTCACCTTGATCCATTTAATCATGGCATCAATGCAGGAGCCGATCACCGTACACCTCAGTAGCAGTGTCTCACCTTCTGCCACCAGCATGGGACCCTCAGGTTGCCGCACCTGCCACTCATTCCCTTTGCTCCTCTCAGAGACTCCTACAATAGACAAAGAAAGGCCTTGAGCTGCACAGGAAAGACTTGGAGACCTGAGAGGCAAGCTTAACAGAAACTAGTCATTAGCTGACCAAGAACAATTGCTCAGGACACTCTAGGGGTTGTTGGAGGAGGAAGTGAAAGAGATGAGGCAACCGGCTGGAGAGAACAGAGATAGTGAATGGAGAACTTACAAATAATAGATGGCACTTGAGTACTCACCATGGCCAGGCACTGCCTGTATTATTGCATTTATTCCTCCCAGCACTCCCTTGAGGTGGGCAGCATCATCCCCATTTTAGAACAAAAACAGTGTGTACCCAGAAAGGTTAGGTAACTTCCCAGGTTCACCGTTTATGGGCTGAATGGTGCTCCTACCCCCACAATTCATACGTTGAAGTCCTAACCCATGTACCTCAGAACATGACTGCATTTGGTCATAAAGTCTGTAAATAGATAAGTAAGTTAAAATGAGGTCACATGGGTGGGTCTTAATCAACATGACTGGTGTCCTTATAAGAACAGTAGATTAGGACATGCATGCGTGCGCACACACACACACACACACACAGGGAAAACCACATGAAGACACAGGGAGAAGACAGCCATCTACAACCAAGAAAACAGGCCTCAGGGTAAATCAACCCTGTAGACATCTTCATCTTAGACTTCTAGCCTGTAGAATTATATAAACAAAAAATTCCTGTTATTTAAGCCAGCAGCCTGTGGTACTTTGTTAAGACATCCCTAGCAAACTAATTCGCCAACCCCCAAAATGTGACAGAGCCTCAATCCAAACACTTAAAGCCTGTTTCTAGAGCCCCTACTCTTAACCCTCAAATGGGGCACACAGAGCTTAAGTGCTGTGGTGCTCATTGTAAGTACCCCCCTGCCTCCTATGACTCCTTCAATGCTTGTTGATGCACTGTGAAGTGAGTCTATCTGGGGAGTAGGTTGAACTTTGAGGTTGGCCTCAGACTAAGTTCAGAGAAAGAGGGTGGAGGCCACCGATGGAAGTTCTACACCCAGGTTATGAACATCAAGGGTACCAGCACTCTATGAGAAGGGTGCTATTTTACTACCTCTGTGGTTTTTTCTTAACTTAAAAAATACTTTTATTGGTTTTAGAGAGAGAGGAAGGGAAGAGAGATATATACAGAAATATGGATGCACCTCCTGCATGCTTCTCACTGAGGATCGAACCTGAAACCCAGGCATGTGCCCTGCCCAGGAATTAAACTCTATGACCTCCTGGTTCATGGGTTGATGCTCAGCCACTGAACCACACTGGATGGGCTATTATATCTATTTTTGAGACAAGAAAACTAATGTCAGAGAGTTGAAGAAACCTGAGGTGAACCATGCATTCAGTAGGTATCATGGCCAGGATTGGAGTGCAGATCGGGTGACTTAGTGTTCTGCTCCACACAAGGTCATTAGCTTTGTGCCCTTGGTTTGTTCCCATCGGCCCTGGGAATAACTCAGTCTCACTCCAAGACATAAGCTTGCAGTATATCACGGTGTTTCTCAGTTGCAAATGAGGTGAGGTAGGGCAGTGAAGCAAACGTCTCCTTCTAAGAGGATGTGGGGAAGGGTTATAGAATTCTAAATTTTTTTCTGTCTGCCTTCTGCTAGATGTGTGCTGTTAGTCACAGTTGTGACCAGGTGACACCCCCTATTTAATCCTAGGGGTGCCTTTTGTCCTGGGTGTCCTTAGTGTCAAGAAGTTCAACAACACCCACCCCAAACACCATCATCTGAACTAGTCAGATCTGTTCTCGCCAATCTTTTCTGGTGGGCCTTTCCCTGGCCTCAGGTAGTTTCCTCACATGTAAGCACAGAACAGTGACCATCCCTCAACACAGGACTGAGAATTGTGCCTGTTCCCACCAGCCAGACTGGAAGACTTCATGACCCACAGGGCAATGGATAGACTACACAGGACAGAGTACTTTACTCAGAGAGACGTGCTCCTGTCCCACTTAACAAATCTGAAAACAAGGCCCCAAATTTATAAAAACTAGTAACATTCTAATGTGAGGTTTATAGTGTTTATTTAAGTAAAGAATAGAATAAAAGAAGAGATGGAAGAAATGTTAGTATACTATTGTAAGGTTCCTATACTATAGTCATGCATCACATAATGACAGTTTCATCAACAATGGACCACATGTACTACAGTGGACCCATCAGCTCCTCTACAATCTTCCTAGTGACACTGTAGCCATGGTAAGGTCATAGAGCACCATATTCCTTATGTGTTTGTGGTGATGATGGTGTAAACAAACCTACTGTGCTGCCAGTTTTATAAAACTATAATATCTATACTAATAAAAGGGTAATGTGCTAATTAGACCAGACATCTTCCGGATGTCCTTCCGGACAAAGCCACAGTAGTGGGGGCTAAGGCAGAGGCGGTTGGGACGATCAGGCTGGCAGGGGAGAGCAGTTAGGGGCGATCAGGCTAGCGGGGGAGGGCAGTCAGGGTCATCAGGCTGGCAGGGGAGGGCAGGCAGGCAAGTGTTTAGGAGCCAGCGGTCCTGGATTGCAAGGGGGATATCTGACTGCCAGTTTAGGCCTGATCCCACAGGAATCGGGCCTAAACCGGCAGTCGGACATAATATGAGGGGTTCTGGATTGGAGAAGGTGCAGGCCAGGCTGAGAGTCCTCCACTCCCCCTGTGCACAAATTTTGTGCACCAGGGATTTTATACACACACACACACACACACACACACACAGTACATAATACTTGATGATGATAATAAATGATTATGTTACTGGTTTGCATATTGACTATGCTATACTTTTAATCATTTTGGAGTGTACTTTTTCTACTTTAAAATAGAAGTATTTATTACGCTTAAAAACAGAATGCCATGTTATGCTGGCAGTAGCCTCACACATCTCACGTCTATTGCATCTCTTGATTGCATCGGTTTCTCTTGGGCATTACTTAATCTCATGTTCCTTTGTACATCATGACCCCTAAATGTAGACACAATGACAAATTCACCTAATGGTGCCTTTCTCAGTCCCTGTCCTAAATAACGCATGACTATATATGGAAATGGTATGATAAAAGGTAGATGGTGATAAATTAAAGGTGTATAATTAAACTCTAAAGCAACCACTAAACTACAAAATAAAGAGTTATAGCTAATAGCCAATAAAGGAGATAAAATAGCATTATAAAAATATTTAATTACCAATAATAGGTAGAAGGAAAAGGGAACAAAGAACAGAGAGGAGGGTAATATATTTAAATTGGCCAATGTAAATGGTCTAAATATGTTAAGTACAGGTTAGACCTTGTCATATTAGATCAGTGGTTCTCAACCTGTGGGTCGCGACCCCTTTGGCAGTCGAATGACCCTTTCACAGGGGTCGCCTAAGATCATCCTGCATATTCAGATATTTACATTACGATTCATAACAGTAGCAACATTACAGTTATGAAGTAGCAACGAAAATAATTTTACAGGTGGGTCACAACATGAGGAACTGTATTTAAAAGGCCAGAAGGTTGAGAACCACTGTATTAGATAAAAAATAAGACCCAACTATCTGTTGCTTATAAGAAATGCACTATAAATATTAAAGGTGTAAATAGGTTAAAAGGAAAATGATAGAAAAATATACAGCATACTAGCACCAATCAAAAGAAAGCTGGAGTGGTTATTTTAATATAAGATAAAGTAGACTTCAGAGCAAACACTATCTCCAGGAATAAAGGGTATTATCTCATAATGATAAAGGAGTAAATTAATCAAGAAGCCATATAAATCCCAAACATTTATGTACCTAATAACAAAACTTCAAAGTATATAAAGCAAAACCCAGTAATAGAATAGCAGGGAGAAACGGACAAATGCACAAAGTGTGAGATTTCAACATCCATTCTTTCAATAGTTGATGGAGGGCTCAGCACAATGCAAATGCTAAACATATTGATAACCTGAAGCGTGAGCTGAGGTTTTTTTCCCAGGGTCGCGTCTCTGACGCCTAAGAATGAGCTCCTAGGACCAGAAGACTTAACTAAGCAAAAGTGTGGAAAATTTATTACAAGCAGATTCAGACTCCCCGCATGGGGAGGGGGGACCCAATAATGGACTGCCCCCTTGAAGCCGGTGGTCTAGAGGTAGATATTTGCTACACGCCTGCTCTATATCTACCCGTGTAGCCACCTGATTGATTCCCTTAATTGTTCTTGCCCAGCAACGGATCTGAACTTTCCCAGTTCCTATGTGTCACCTTATTGTTGCAGACCCTCCTTAGTTTCACCTGCCCCCACTCTGAGTCCAAAAACATTTTGTTATTCCTGCTTGGTTGGTTTCTGTGATTAGGCTGCTCAAACTGCCCTGTCTGCCCGGCCTATGTTCCACCTGCCTTTGTTTTCCACTGGACCCCTGCCCTGTCTGCCCGTGTTTCATGCTAACTTCTCTCAATATTCGCTATCATTATTCAAAGCCCCACACCTGAGTCCCACCAGGACCCCCCTCAGGGTTACCATCTGGGGGACTGAAGGTGTGATGAACAGAATCTAGATCTCAGTAGGGCCTGCAGACAAGGGGCCAGATGGGCAAGAGATGGAATGAGCTGTTGAGAACCAAGCATTTTGTCTGGTGGATCAGTGTTCTGGGCTGAGAGGTTGAACAATACCCAGGAGCCTCAGGCCCTGCAGCTAAATGATCTTAGAGGAGATATGAGTCTGATAATAATAGCCAACAGTTATCCAATCTTTACATTGTGCCAGGTACAGTTGACCCTTGAACAACACGGGTTTGAACTACGTGGGTCCACTTCAAGATATATTTTTTTTCAGTGAATACATACAGCACTATAAATGTGTTTTCTTTATGATTTTCTTTAAAAAATTATTTTAAAAATATTTTTATTGATTTCAGAGAGGAAGGGAGAGGGAGAGAGTGATCGAAACATCATGGATGAGAGAAAATCATTGATCGGCTGCCTCCTGCATGGCCCACACTGGGGATCGAGCCCACAACCCAGGCATGTGCCCTGAGTGGGACTCGAACCTAGTTCGATTGACCTCCTGGTTCATAGGTCGATGCTCAACCCCTAAGCCACACCAGCCAGGATCTTTATGATTTTCTTAATAACATTTTAAAAATTTAGCTTACTTTATTCTAAGTATACAGAGTATAGAACATATAACACAAAATATGTGTTCATGGACTGTTTATAAGGAAGGCTTCTGGTCAACACTAGACTACTATTAGTTGAGTTTTTGGAGAATCAAAAGTTATACATGGATTTTAATTGTTTAGGGAGTCAGAACCCCCAAACCCCTGCATTGTTCAAGGGTCAACTGTACTTATAGGTATAACCTCATTGAAACCGCCTAACAAAATCATGAGGTGGGTCTTATGATTAGCCCCACTTCACAGAGAGGGAAACCTGAGGCTCAGAGAGAAGTTAGTTAAAGCAATTGGTGGTGAGATTTGAGCCTCGCTTTGTCTCGGGCTGGGCCAGTGCTGGCTCATGGCTGTTCCATGTGAATAGTCACATAGGCCCTATGCTTGAGTTAATGCTCTGTTGTTGCTGCCTTAAATTATTATTATTTTTTTTAAAGAATGGAATATTTTGCCCTAGCCAGTTTTGCTCAATGGATAGAGCTTGTGGACTGAAGGGTCCCGGGTTTGATTCTGGTCAAGGTCACATCCCCAGTGTGGGGCATGCAGGAGGGAGCCGATTAATGACTCTCTCATCATTGATGTTTCCATCTCTCTCTCCCTCTCTGAAAGCAATCAAAGAATGGAATATTTTTGTTGTTGTTGTTAACAACAATTGCAATTGACCCAGGTCTCCCAATACTGGGGGACCCTGAGGATATTTTTCCATTACCCGAGGATATTTTTCCATTGATTTTTAGAGAGAGCGGAAGGAGAGGGAGAGACAGAGAAACATCGATGTGAGAGAAACACATCGAGTGGTTGCCTCCTGCATGCACCCCAACCAGGGCCGGGACTGGGGATGAGCCTGTGACCAAGGTACGTGCCCTTGATTGGAATCAAACCCGGGACCCTTTGGTCTGCAGGCCAACCCTCTATCCACTGAGCCAAATCAGCTAGGAGCTTTAAAATTCTTAATACTTCTTGAACAAAGGACTTGCATTTTCATTTTGCACTGAAGGACGAGGGCCCTGCCAATAACACCAATGGCCCTGGGCTGCGCCTCACCATTTTTATGTTCAATACTCCCAGCATTTCTAGATAAAGGTCCCACTAGCGGTCCTGCTTGGTGGAAGAGGTGACATGGGCACACAAGTGTCCGAACCAGAACCCACCTGGCATGAGCCCAGTGCTGCCCAAGAAGTTCTGCTTCTTTGGACACTGGGTCTGTGCTCTGCTGGGGTCAGGAAAGTTCTCAACCTACTCTGTCTTGGTGGGTTCTTGCCCCACCAGGCATGCCAGGGCAGCTGATGCCCCTCTCCAGGACCAGCCAGGGGTAAATTCTGTTCTGTTCCAGATCCCACTCACCTGAGAGGACAAGGAGCAGCACCAGTTGCCAGGAGGGAGGTGAGTCGACCAAGTTGGGAGGGGTGGGCATGACGAGGGGCGCACGGTGCCTCTAGTAGTCCCTGAGACTGGCCGTGTCTTTGCTCTCAGATGCGTGTTGGAGTCTGAAGTGGGGCTGTGGGCAAGGCTGTGTCTGCTTCTTGTGGTGAAGGCTACTTGGGGAAGTGTTTTGAACACAGCAAAATAAGGCTGCTGATGCAAGAGGGAGGAGCCTGGTGGACCGGGTTCCGGCTTTTGTGTCTGGGCAGTGGTTCCTATAATTAGCCTGTCAAAACTTTAATGATCCCTTGCCACACACTCTATCCTCAGCACCTTGGGAGGGAGATGAGCATGGCTGTCAAAGTGTGTGCTGCTTTCGGAGGTTGTAAAGCTTGCGAGATCCAGCCTGCAGAGGACATGGGATCTCATTGTCCTCCCAGCCTTCCCCGAAGGCCCTCAATAAAATAGATTGTTCTTAAAAAAAAATGGTGTGCTCAAGTCAGCCAGACTTTGGACCAAGTACTGGGTTTGCCTCTTCCTGGCTGTGTGAGCTTTCAAACTCACTTGCCATCTCTGAGCCTTTGTTTCTGAGCCAAGAGTGGAAATGCCAGGTTATTGGGTATGTGAATGTCCAATGTAAAATTTTCCAAAGTAATTGTGCCAATTTATATGCCCACCAGTAGTGTAGGAAAGAGCCATTGTTTCCTTATTTTTGCTATTTGAATAGGGACAAAATAGCATTTCAGTGTGGTTTTATTTGGCTTTTGCTAATTACTAATGAGATTGGATGTCTCTTCATTTCTTTTTTGGCCATAATTGTTTTTCTTCAATCCCATTTTAATGATGCGGCTGTAAAGGTTTTGTGGCAGAGCTTGGGTATCCACAATGGAGTTTCCTAGGATCCAGGAAGGGTCCTTTCAGAATTGCAGGTACGCATTTCATCTGGGAGGGAGCCTGTCCTGTCTCTGCTGGATTTCCTGTTCTGGGTCAGAATGACCACAGAAGCTTCTTTCTCGGGGAGGGCATGAGAGCCCACCTTTCACTGCTGCCCTTCCCATCCAGGTTTTTACCTCCTCTGGGGGCTGCCGGCAACAGGAAGGGACAGCCAACACTGACCATGTCTCAGAAGGCTGATGAGGCAGGAGGAGCTGGGGTAGCAGCTACAGGCATCATGGCAAGTGTCCCTCATGGATTGGTCCTCCTGAATAAGACAAGAGGGGACTTGGGTCGCTGATCAGCTGAGCGCAAACATTGTCCAACTGGGTCTGGAGAGTCCGGGTGGGGCGAGAAGGAAGGAGGTGGTGCATCTAAGCTTCCCTGACCAGGCAAAGGAGCACTGCATGCCACTTGAGGCACCTATGGAGGTGGTAAAACTGGCGGCACTTCCTCGGGGGGTTCCTGTAGAACAGGGGGCTGAGCTTCCTTCCGAGGGACCTGCTTCTTTTCTCCTGCCTGCTTCTGTTCTCCTGCCACTAAAACCTTACTCTGTCTCTTCTTACACACGCAGAGCCGGATCCCAGGAGACCTGTGCCGAGCTATTTCTAGCCATTGAGCTATGCAAGAAAACTGATCAGGATGACCAGGGTCACCTGTGATGACCTCAAAGAGGGCCCTGACAGTTGGGACATCCAGGGTTCCCTCTGAGGGCCAACCCACACCATAGGCTGGCCATTCTAATTCACAGGATGTTCTTAACTTCCAGGGAATTAGTTTCACACTATAATCCCTGGCATATTCTTTCTGTAAAACCCAATATTCTATAATATTATAACTAATAAATATTAGTTATAACTGTATTTGACAAAGGCTCCTATGTACCTTCAGTATAAAATTTTCTTTCATGAAAGAGAAAGCAAACATTTGAGGCATTTCAGAGCCTATTGGGATGATCTAAAGTCAACTACAGGTCAAGAGAAAGTTTCTTAAAATTTAAACCCTTGAAGGATTGTCAAACTTGATTTTACCAAAAGATAACGTATCAATGTGTGTTAGACACAAACATTCTTTTTTTAAAAATATATTTTATTGATTTTTTACAGAGAGGAAGAGAGAGAGATAGAGAGTTAGAAACATCGATGAGAAAGAAATATCAATCAGCTGCCTCCTGCACATCCCCCGCTGGGGAAGTGCCACAACCCAGGTACATGCCCTTGACTGGAATCGAACCCGGGACCTTTCAGTCCGCAGGTCGATGCTCTATCCACTGAGCCAAACCGGTTTCGGCAACATTCTTATAACTTTCAGAAATTACCAGCTTTAGAAACTACCTTCTTTCTCCTTCAAAATGCATTTCTATGCCTATGTATTCTCTATTGCACCAAAGCCATATTTTCCTTAACCTTAATTTTTAGGTGACATGTAAGTAATTAACGCTACTTAGATTAGCAATACATTTATATTTTAAGAGAGATTTCAAATAAAATATAAGACTTACTTATTAATGATTCCACGTCATCCTCGATTCTCCAGAGAAGGTAAACTCAGATCAATTAATGTTTCAGTATCATTTAACCCAGCAATGCTCCAAAGCCTTTAAGTTATCAAAGACTTTGGAAAATTATGTATAGGCCTGTATTTATAAACCAGGGAAGAGTAAACTAAAGTCCCTAAAAGATTACATTACAGATATACAGACAGAAATCTCACTAGCTTAACTGGGTTTCCCAAAGTGGGACTTGCCCCATCTTCAAACAAATTAAACAAACAACAAAAAGACATACAATTTCAACAGAAAACTCCGTCTGTCTGGCCACTCTTTCGGTGGAGACAAACTCTTAGCTTTGGAGAATCCATATAAATCCTGGAACCGGATCACCACCGCAGGGCGGGGCCGGGTTGCCTCAGTGCCCCAGGTGAGGACGCCTCTCTTAGCCATATGTGCCCGGGAGTCCGCTCTCATCAGCGGTGGCCCCAAAACCCAGCGCAGCTGACGCTCCGTGGGTGAGGGAACCAAGAATGTTGTTGCTAATGGCCCAAGAGAACGGTAGCCCGGCCCAAAACAGAGGCAGATCAACGACCTAAGAGCTCCACAGTCAGTCCATCCAGCAGAGGCAGATAACTGCCTAGCGGGTGATCAGCCAACCTCTTCTGTCCCGAAAGACAGGCCTGAACTCGGCCAAGTGGGGC